TTGGATTATTTTATCCACAATCGCAATATGCCTGCTTTCCGTTTCTGTCTTCCCGAAGGAGCATTTCTCAGCCTTTTGTTGAACCCGTAGAGCAAATTTTTCGATGGACTCATCATCACCCGGTACCATTGACCAAAACAGAAATCGTTCGAAACTATCATGGTGCTTCGGTGAGAAGTATTGTGTTAATTTTTCTTTTGCTGAAATGTACGGGTCCTTTGTCGAGTCATCATCTTCTTCGTCACATCCAGGAATTCCATAAAAGGCACTCTGCAATTCCATGCCTCCCATGGCAAGCAGTTGCATCTTGCGGCTTGTGCCATCTATGACACTAGCAGCTGCCATGACGGTTTCGAACCATCGAATCCACGATCCCCACGCATTTCGAATTTCCGATTGTGGCAAATGCTTATATTTGAAATGTGGCAAGTTGTATGAGGCAGGGCTAAAGAGCGATAAATTCTGTTGAATTATCGACGTGTTACCACCACTCTCGTTCAGTTCTGGGTCATCCATGTTGGCTGTATCTGTCAATAATGTCAATACACAAAACATTTGCATTTGCATTTACTTTATTTTACATACAACCCAATTTTACACATTTTACACAATTTTTTTTTAAAATTATTATTAAATGTAGTATTTCAGTCTTTGTTTTTGTTCATATCAGAATCTAATCGGCATTATGCAATATACTTTTTTTTTCAGTAGCTTGACATTGGCTGTATTTGTAATTCATGAGGATTATTATTACTATTATCAATCGCAACATTTAAGAGCGTAAACTCATCCTTCATAAATCAACAATCATTCATTTTATGAGCTTCGCTACATCCAAGAGCGACCATAAAACTTAATTTATTATTAAACTTTTCTTGGCTCATACATTTGTGTACCTTGTACTTAATATACCGAACCATATTTTCGCAACATCCAAGAGCAGGCAAACATTTTAAAATTTTCTTAACGTTCCATTATTGTTCTTCATAAGTACACACATTTATGACATGTATCATCTCACACTAATCGATTCCTTCTTCGCAACATCCAAGAGCGAAAATCAAATAGGATTTTGTTTTATACCTACAGACCTCTGTAAGCATCACACATTCTACTCAATTAAGTTTCAGTGCAATCTTTCATCCACGCTTTCATCTCACATAACATTAAAGTGCGCAAATCCAATAGGATTTTTTTCATATGCATCACACATCTTACTCATTTGAGTTTCCGTTTAGCTTTCATCCATTGCCATTTGGCACCAAACTCTGTCTTTTAGGCCGACAACATAGTAGAAGCGATTCGAAGCGATTCGATGCGATAGCAATTGGCAAAGCGAAATGCAGCGGCAAGCGAAGCAACCTATGACATAGTGAAAGCGTTTTTGAAAACATTACAGTCGCGCGCGCAGTGCAAAATATTTGTTCAAATTTTCGGTGTCCAGTTTTCCTCACTAGAATCAGTCCACTTGCGTTCGAAGGCGTCAAAACACAACACGAACAGCTCTGTCGCTTTGCTGAACGCTTTACACCTCTTCGCATCGCTTTCACTATGGCTGGTTTGGGCGATTCCCATAGAACGCTCATAGAGGGTGCTTTCACGCAAGCGCTCCGCTTATTGCCAACGAATCGAATCGCTTCGAATCGCTTCTACTATGTTGTCGGCCTTAGGCTGCAATTCAATCAGCACACAAATACTTTCTCACGTCATATTTTCCAAATGGCTTCAACATTCTCGCATGACATGTATTCTGTCTGACACAAACACAGTTTAACCATCTTGCTACTTGTCATTATTTTCTCAGAGAGTCAGTTCCCTCATTCGTTTGTTCGAAAATTAATCTGATCACACATACATTCTCACCACTTTCTCTGTCTCCGCGAGCCAAAGTGAGATGAACAGACAGGTATATCGCTCTCATAGCTCCAATACAAGCAATTTTTTTTTCTTGCGTAGTGAATATTAGCGCATTAATTATTTTTAACATTTATAAATATATACCTTGCTTTGTTTTTCTTAGACTGGCTACACGAAGTTTCGATTCAGGCGGCCGTAATGGAACCAGTACAGGATATCATAATATTTTTGTTTTCTTTATATGTACATACCTTAATGTTGCTGCATCTTCGGTTTGAACTCCATACCTTCAGGATGGAATACTAAAGCAAACCACCATGGCTTACCATTACAAATATATCTTTCTCATCTATGCCACATTCACTCGTAACTAATCTAGACTAACATTTGAAAAGGGCGTAATTCCAAAATGACCATATCGAGAAAATCGCTTCTCAATTTTGATGACTTAAAAATTAATCCTATTTCACGACTTTCCATTTTCTGGATGATTTTATAAGCTTGACATATAGTTAATAGTGTAATCTATCATCATGCATCACTAAAAACTCAAAAAAAGTTTTCTTTGTCGTGAAATCGAGAAGAAAACATCATACGCCCTGATAATTTCATACATGTTGTTACCCCCCGGATCATCCACCCTTTGAACTGCCAACACTGGTGATACGCCGTGGAAGTACACCCTCGGGATATTTTGTTTGTTGTTCCGCCTTGGTTCTTCGTTCGCAAATTTTGTGAGAGTGGAATTACGCCCGGAGATTTTTTGGTCTTCTTTTTGTTCGTTGTTTACACGTGAACTATCAATCGGATGCATTTCAAATGAATCGGGCGTGACTAGATACTACAGACTCAATACGTTTGGCATATTAAAACGATATAATTCGTAGTTCTGGTGCAAGGCGTAACAACCAGATGCATCATAGAGTTGAAAGTTGGAAATACGCCATGTAAGAAGAAACGTTTTTGATGATTTGAAGTGATATTTTCTTCTACATTTTCTTGTTTATCGAGTAGTTTGTGAACTATTCTCTCTATATGTGGCAAAATATGGTTTGTTTACATTTTGGCTCTTACGCCCCTTTCAAATGTTAGTCTAGTAATCATCTCATTTTTCCATTCTCTACATTTCTGATTCAACACACTCTCACGGTTTAATAATTTCTACTCACTTTCTGCACACTCTTATACATACTCAACCAAGCACTTTATTCAAAATGGCTTCGGGGGCATAATCGCTTCTAATTTTCTTAATGACTGATGGTACCGCGGGCAATTTTATTTCATTTTTTTTTTTTTTTTTTACCATTATAAAGAACAATTTAGTTTCTCTTGCACTCCACTGTAGCAATTATCAGCGTTTCCATAGTCGCACTATCAACACTTTTTTTTTTTAAATTGATCATTTCTTTCTTCAATTACAGACACAACCAATATTTCAAAATGGCGTCTTCTGGGGCTTTTTCCTGCTTGTATAGCATTTTCTAGCATTCCTTCACTTCATTACGCCATTTTCATTTTTTTTTCCTCCACCGAATTATAAATTCTGAGATAAACACTACTGCTGATGCAATTATCTTCAAATTTAATTTACCTGAAAACTTCCACTACTAGGTATTGCCGAATCGCACTGACTTTTTTCTGTAATATGTTTTCTTACGGGATTTAATTTCACTGCTGAGGATTCGTACACCTCGTCGCCATCTTGTGGTAACTGAATAGCTGGTTAGATTATTACACACGCGGTAAACTATAGCCGAGGTAGACGAACCAAACACCATGCCATACTGAGTAAGACTGATCACTCTACCAAGAGAACATCAGGAGAACCACCGCACATCTCACACATATATGTAAATGTGAGTCACTCTACCACACCCCTAAAGAACCTAATTACACGAAACGAAAATCAATTATTTAATTCATGTGTTTCACTTATACATTTTTGCCAAAGCATCAGCCTTATACATTCCATAAGACAAACCACATAGGTCCTATTAGAATGCATAAAAGGTATGTGTGACCGCTTATACATTTCATTTGACACATGATCTTTATTAACTTTTTGCAAGGCGTCTGCTTATTAGTTGACTTATACATTTTATGAATAATCAGCAATGGAAATTTGCCAAAAGGTATAAGGAGATTTCTATCCGTGTAGGTTGTTTAACTTCGAAAAATATACCGATTTTTATACATCATCTGATAGAGCTTTGCTTTCTGAGCACAACCATATTTTTATCGATCCTATAGACATTCATTTCAATCTAGATTTCAATTGTTAAATCAAGATTTTAATTTTTGATCGTTGACACTAAATCTATTCGTTGACAGCTCACTCCCATACAAAGTCTCACCAAGGGGCGCTAAAATGGTGAGTTTTGCTAATGTAATCGTACATATTTAAAATAGTTCCAGTATACCAAAATTGATGAAATATTGGAATTCAGTTCCATTTTTAATGCAGATAAACGTTGATGGTTGATTTTCAACTTAGAGATTGTTTTTTTCTTTGTTTAAACTGTTTAAAAAATGACTGTCAGAACTGTTTGTGTTGATTTAACACGGATAATATTCAACAGGAACTGTTACAGTAGCGAATGAAGAATTTGCGAAGAAGAATAAAAGAAGCCAGATGTTCTGTCTTGTCTTAGGTATTTGCATTGCTTGCTGCTCGGTTCAGTCACTAACGTTTTCGGGCACAATAAAGCAACCCCTTTTTCTTGCACTCTTGCAATAACATATTCCTCTCCCAAGTGTTGTCGGATCTATAAATTTATTACGAAATTGAAATCTAATAAAAATATATGAAATTTATTTCTATATCGAAGTGGGGATCATCAAAACAATATTCAAGATTTCAAATCATCTATGATTTTTTAGTAGAACAAAAATTACAGATTCAAAGGTCTTTGCTTGCGAAATTCAGTTAACAGCTCAAGAACAACTGCACTGCAATCCAGTTTGTCAATTCACGGATCTGCCGGCACTGGCTTGCTGTTTCTGGTGGTGGAGCGGAGAGAGCATCAGAGAGCGAGCAACAAACTCTCCGCCTCTCTGCATTTTAGGAGTTTACCTTTTTTCCAGACCGGACTTGCCTCCGCAGGATTTGCTCCGTTCGCTCCAGAACGAAAGAAGATGGCGTACTGAGCTGTTCGTCGTCGCTCCAGTGATCGGTTCTTGTGTTGTCAAGTTGGAAAAAAATTGGTGACCGTTTCTGTGCGCGTTAATTTACCCCCGGAAAGTGACTGAAATCCGGTCCGTAAGTGGCTGAAAACGTCGTACTGTTCCGTGGCCATCGTTTGCGCTAGCAGTTTGGCGGGTGCGCGCGGGTTTTGAACGTGAAAATCCGTTCGGACAAAAGTGAAGTTTTTTTTTTCTTTCATTTTGCTCTGCGGTGGAGTGAATTGGATTTTTTTTTGCTTCTGTGAGTGAACGAACGATCCGAACGTTGAACGACGAAGTGAAGAGGGAAGCAGATGCGGGGGTGCGGAAGAACCCAAGAGTGTTGGATAGTGAAGTAGGTTTTGATTTTCTTGTTGGCTTGTTGGTAGTTGTGCGGGTTGGGTTTGTTGGTGGTGCTCTCATCATCTCACGGCGAGGAGTTTACTCCTGTGAGCACCAACACATGCTCATTCTGTTGTTGGAGTTGGGATTGGGATTGAGAAAGGAATGCATTTGAGTGTGTGGGTGCGTGCGTTCGTACCTACTGCTGCTGCTGCTGCTGGCGGCTGGCTATGGGAAAATGTGGGTGCTGAAAGTGGTTATGCTGCGGGTGGGGTGGGGTTGGAGTTGGGTGAATCGTGAGTGCAAGGAGTTCAGTTTACACATACACACATTATGTGATAGTGTTCTACGTTGTGCTTGGAGAGGGTTGGAAAGCAGAGCGGAGTGGCGATACGCTGCAAGTGGAAAGTATGCTGCTGGAGGATCGGCAGGGTTGACAGTTTTGTAGTTGGCGAAGTTTTAGCACGTAACTAGAATGTTTTGGTTAGATGTTTGTGATGGTTTAGAAAGGTCTCCATACAGATTTTATAAATTGATAGATGTTATTTTGATGTCGATAAATTAGGCTTATTTTAAGCAGCTTTTGTTCAAACATTTTATTGAAATTTTGTTGCGAATCATTGCATGATTTTTAACCAAATTTGGCCAGCTGCAACTGTAATTCAAAAACAAGCTTTGGTCCAAATTTCAGCCAAAAATCGTCTGGAGTTCCCGCATAAGCGCGAACCATAAATTGACCTTACCTAAAATGGTTATAAATTGTTTATAATCCCTGCTAAACTTCAACTGAAATGGTTATGGAACTTTACATGAACGTTTAATGATAAAGTTTTAACCTTAAGTATTATAGTTTTTTGGAAGTGGACCTTACAAATAATGGGTTGTTAAGAACCATTACCATTCAAAATTCTTGTTTTCTCCATACATTTTCGGAAAGAAAACTATACTAAAACCTTTTTACTTATGGTTTGAGAACATTAATGGTAATGGTTATGGTAGTCAGTAAGGTCCACGAATGGTTTTGTAACATCGATCAACTTTATGTGGAATATATCGCGAATTGGTTGCCTGCAAATTACTGATTACCAATTCACGATATATTTCACGTAAAGTTGAGCGATAATACAAAACCATTAATGGACCTTACTGACTACCATAACCATAACCATTAATGTTCTCAAACCATAAGTAAAAACGTTCTAATATAGTTCTTTTTCCGAAAATGTATGGAGAAAACAAGAATTTGGAATGGTAATGGTTCTTAACAACCCATTATTTGTAAGGTCCGCTTCCAAAAAACCATAATACATAAGGTTAAAACTTTATCACACAAACGTTCATGTAAAGTTCCATAACCATTTCAGTTGAAGTTTAGCAGGGATTATAAACAATTTATAACCATTATCGGTAAGGTCATGTGATGGTTCGCGTTTATGCGGGTTGGTTACAACGGAATAAATATTTATGTTGTGAGCATTTATTTGTTTTCTACGAATCGCAGAAAACACTTCTTTTTTAGATTTTGTCATAAATCGATTCTGAATATTCACACCAATAGAGGTTAAAAAAGATAAACTGGGTTGGAAATTTTTCACAAGTCAGAAAATTTAGTATTACCGAAATCGAATGGTTTTATTTTGAAATTTAATTTATGATTTAGTTGATTTTGGACGACCATGAGTCATCTTTCTGACATGGACGTTTATCAATAATTGATCTTTTATTAAAAATTGTAATCACAAGGAGCAAAAATATATTATTTCCAAAATCCGTTCGATTTTAGCACGGTGCCAAAATTGAACCCCGTCGCAAAAACGAATGATTTTGTTGCCAAAATCGAACTGATACTGTACAGTGATTTTGAAGAACAATTGGGATAGTTTTTACATCAATATTTTGTTTGAATATTTTTCATTAAAAAGCTTATAAAAAAGCGCTACCTTTTGTGAAAATTTCAAGCTAATGAGTACGTTTTTTACAAGATTCAAAATGGCGAAATTTTAGCAAAAATTTGAATGATATACCATAACAAACATCATGCAAATCGGAAAAGGTCGAGTCTGAAATTAATTTTTGTTTTGCTATTTGACCTGGAAATGCTCCAAACAGCATGGGCTCAAAACCTTTCAGCTAGAACTTATACATATCTAGATAGAGCTAGAATTAGGGCGTAACAGCTTTTTTGAACATCGCCAACGCAAATCAACATCATCATCGGATAGGGGAAGACTTCCCCTACCCGATGGTTATGTTAATTTGCGTGAGCGTGCCTTGAATTCCTAGAAATCATCGAGAGAAGTCATTGTTTACAAAAGCTGTTTCGCCCTAATTCCAGCTCTATCTGGATATGATCTTAATGTGGATCAATTTAAGCGATTTTAGCTATGGAACAATAGGATATGAACAATGTCCTGATGAGAATTTTCTTTAGTAGGTCCAAAACACAGGGAAAAGTATTTTCTTTTTAATTGTGATGATTTTCAAATGCCGAAATTTCGTGTTTAGATTAGATGATTTAATACCGTTGATATTTTTAAGTATGTGAACGTCTGTGTGTTTGATGTGATTTTGAAAGTTTTCCAGATCTCGAATTTTGAAGTTCCAGCCAGGATTTAGGGGAGATTGGGGGTAAAATGCCAATGCTAAAGAAGATCCCCGTTGAATCCACAAAGTGAATCGATATTTAAGTGCAGTACCATCTATTTGTTGGATTGGGCTATGGACTAGATATTACGATTGATATGCTTAACGAAAATGGATAAATTCTTGCTTGAATTAAATTGAATAGGCCTACAATTACCTGTTTTCAAAACACTGAGAGGCATGCCACGGAAGCATTTCTCTATTGAATATCAAAGGTTCACGCCTGATATGGTTATGCTTTCCACACTACAGTTCGGTGAGCGCATTATTTCCCTCTTGGAGTAACAAATTACGACCTATTGAGCCGACAGGTGAAGGATATATTCAATGAAATCTTTAATTTTGGCAATATTCAGAGATACCATTTGTTTAAAAAAAAAATTGCTATTTTTGTGTGGTTTTGTGCCAAAATTGTTTCGCCATCATATTAACTAGCAGCCAGTGATAGTTAGTTGGTTGGTTGTCTTTATTAAGGAGATTTTCAGCCAGAGCAGTGATAGTGTTTTTTAAATTTTCTCTGGAAGTTACTCTAAACTTTCTCTGAATATTATCTGGAAGTTTCGCTAAGCTTTCTCTGGAAGTTTCTTTCATATTTTTAACTTTTTGTGGATGTTTCTCTGAAATTTCTCTGGAAGTTTCCTTAAACTTTCTTTGGAGAAACTTTCTCTGGAATTTCTTTAAACTTTTTATGGACGTTTCTCTGAACTTTCTTTTGTATTTTATCTTAACTTTTTCTGGAAGTTTCTGTAATCTTTCGGTGGAAATTTCTTTAAACTTTCTTTTAAAGTTTATCTAAACTTTCTCTGGAAGTTTCTCTGAGAGTTTCTCTAAACTTTCCCTGGAAGTTTTTTAAACTTTCATTTGAAATTTTTTCTAAATTTTCTCTGGAAGAATATCTGAACTTTCTCTGGAAGTTTATCTAAAATTTCTCTTGAAGTTTTTTTAAATCTTTCTTTGGAGAAACTTTCTCTGGAAGTTTCTTTAAACTTGTTTTGGAGAAACTTTCTCTGGATGTTTCTCTGAACATTATCTGGAAGTTTTCCTAAACTTTCTCTTCAAGTTTCTTTAAACTTTCTCTGTAAGTTTCTTTAAACTCTCTCTCTGGAAGTTTCTCTAAGCTTTCAGTGTAAATATCGCTAAACTTTCTCTAGAAGATTCTCTAAATTTTCTCTGGAAGTATTCTCTAAACTTTCAATGGAAGTTATTTTATTAAAATTTATCTGGAAGTTTTCTAAACTTCTCTGGAAGTATATCTTAACTTTCTCTGGAAGTTTCTCTAAAATTTCTCTTGAAGTTTCTTTAAACTTTTAAACTAAGAAATTTTCTATGGAAGTTTCTCTAAACTTTCTATGGAAGTTTCTTTAAAATCTCTGGAACTTTTCTAAACTTTCTCTGGAAGTTTCTTTAAACTTTCTCTGGAAGTTTATCTCAGTTTTCTGTGGAAGTTTCTCTAAACTTTCTCTGGAAGTTTCTGTAATCTTTCTATGGAAATTTCTCTAATTTTTTTCTGGAAATTTGTCGAAACTTTCTCTGATAGTTTCTCTAAACTTTCTCTGATAGTTTCTCTAAACTTTCTCTGAAAGTTTCTCTAATTTTTTTCTGGAAGTTTCTCCAAACTTTCTCTGGACGTTTCTCTAAACTTTCTCTGCAAGTTCTAAACTTTCTCTGGAAGATTATCTCAACTTTCTCTGGAAATTTCTCTGAACTTTCACTGAAAGTATCTCTGAACATTCTCTGGAAGTTTCTCTAAACTTTCTCTGAAAGCTTCTGTAATCTTTCTGTGGAAATTTCTCTAAACTTTCTCTTGGAGTTTATCCAAACTTTCTCTGGAAGTTTCTCCAAACTTTTCTGGAAATTTCTCTATCCTTTCTCTGATAGTTCCTCTAAACTTTCTCTGGAAGTTTCTCTAAACTTTCTCTGGAAGTTTCTCTAAATTTTCTCTCGAAGTTTCTGTAAACTTTCTCTCGAAGTTTCTGTAATCTTTCTATGGAAATTTCTCTAATTTTTTCTGGAAATTTGTCGAAACTTTCTCTGGAAATTTCTCTGGAAGTTACTCTAAATTTTTTCTGGAAGTTTCTCCAAACTTTATTTTTCTCTGGACGTTTCTCTAAACTTTCTCTACAAGTTCTAAACTTTCTCTGGAAGTTTCTCTAAACTTTCTCTGGAAGTTTCTCCAAACTTTTCTGGAAATTTCTCTAAACTTTCTCTGATAGTTCCTCTAAACTTTCTCTGGAAGTTTCTCTAAACTTTCTCTGAAAGCTTCTGTAATCTTTATGTGGAAATTTCTCTAAACTTTCTGGAAATTTCTCGAAACTTTCTCTGGAAGTTTCTCTAAACTTTCTCTGGAAGTTTCTGTAATCTTTCTGTGGA